TGGCCCAACAAAGGCAAAAATCCTATGCCGATATGAAACGCCGGGAAATCTCGTTCTCCGTTGGAGACAAAGTTTTGTTAAGCACGAAGAATATTCGGCTTAAGATCCCTGGTGCGAGAAAGTTGTTCCCTCGATGGATTGGGCCCTTTGAGGTGACTCAACGAGTTGGTGCGGTAGCTTACAAGCTCAAGCTACCTGATACCCTGCAGATTCACAATGTCTTCCATGTGTCTCTGTTAAGCAAGTACGTTGCAGACGGCAAGTACTTACCACCACCAACAATCGTCCTGGGGGAGGAACTGTACTATGAAGTCGAACGAGTGCTTTTGCATCGTGATCGACAACGCGGCCGCAAGACTGTACGAGAGTTCCTCATTAAGTGGAAAGGCTATGGGCCTGAACACAACTCATGGGAGCCGGAAGAACATTTGACTGATACTGCGGTTCAGTCTTACATGGAAGACCTGGCTCAGCGAGCACTCCCACAACCAGCGGATGGTGTTGACCCTGGTCGTAATGTGGTTCGTCGTGCTCGTAGCACTCGTCCTAAGAAGCACCCCACGGCAACGAGGACGTTGCCAGCTGGAGGGGGAGGAGTGTAACATCCGTACCCAACCCCAGCTGGTCTCGATACGTCGAACCAGCTGAGGGAGAAATGTGGGGAAATCTGGTTGGTTGGGAAAGCGAGACTTACGGGCAATTCAGGATTGATTGGGAAACCAACCAATCGAAATTGTTGCTGAGTCAAACTTACGCAATTGGTTTGAGCTTGTTCAAACATAACCCACGTAAGTTCACCTCATCACTAATTCAACCAATCAGATCACAGCCCCAAGAGTGAGTCGACAATGTTTCCGCCGCTCACTTCAAACACAACCAATGAGAAACAAATACAGGTTTGTGATTGCTATGCAATTCTTATCCTTGCTATCTAAAATGTAATTGGTTGAAAATCTTGTTTGTTGCCACATGGGCAAGACCCAAGGGAGTGCACCCCTCCTTGCCATGGGGAAGGTGGCTGCACCCCAAGGGGGTCTAGGGAAGGGGTCTGAAGCCTCTTGGCTCATTCCTCATTTCCTACTCCCAACAAATCAATTGGGAAATAGGATTGTCTTCTCCTCAACTCACCTTCCACAGTTTGTTACTGCATCTCCTAGCACTCTCCAGACTTAGTGATTTCCAGGAGCTGTTACTCTCTGTTTGTGTTAGAACTTATCTTTATATGGGTAAATGCCCTTTTTCTTAGTAGATCCGTTACATTTCAGGTGTCAAAAATCATTTCTATCGCCTTTGGAGATCTCCAGTGGCTCGTTCCTTCTAATATCTCTATCGCTCGTCAAATTCCCTTCTTCATAGGCCTCTTTTACTCTACAAATAATGGTTCTGTGATGCTCCTGCCAAAGGACCTGAGCAGTCAGGAGACCGCGTCTGGAAAGCTCCGAACCATCTTTTCCCGCACGCCATGCCGCCGAGGTCGCCATGTTGAGGCGAATGAGCATCGATGCATGGCGGCTTGGCTTTGCACCTCACCTATGTTGCGCAGAATCGTCGTCGCGGACGAGAATTCCCGCGACCGGCTAACGCGACAGTCGATGTCGCCACGAGTCGTCTCGGGAACTTCTCGAAAGCACTGAAGCACTGTGCGCGAACATCCTGACCATTGAATGGCGTTTTGGGCTTCGAAGCCCCCACAGCCGCCACATGGGAAGAAAATCGTCTCAATGCCGAGCTCTGAGCTGCTGTCGCATGATACTGTACATGCACTGCATGGATGCTGCTGAGCCGTCCAGGTCAATAGGGGGGGAATACGTCCAGGTCAACACAATCCTTCTAGCCTAATGCCGATTTCAACTGAGCCGGGTCGAGATTGAACCAGACCCGTCAAATGCTTCCAATCGGACGCTCTCGCCGCGTCGGCATCCATAAAACCCCTCATTGATCGCTTGCCGCTTGGAGCAAACGTCAGCATTTGGTGGAGCTCGGTGGGTGAGGTGTACGCTCGGTCAGCTGTTGTGCTCTATTTCATAAGCAGTCAATCAGTGCAACATGAGCGTGAGACATACAGGTTGGTGTTGCCTGCTACAGTACACGTAGGAGAAACTCATGCTGGTGGAGGGTAAGCGGGCAGCGTTACTATCTGACTTCCTGGAGCGGACAGATGGACAAGCGGTGAGTGACAACAGAGTGTTTTTCCAGGAGTTGTTCCGAAGAATGGGTTTGTTCCGAAGCGCAAGTGTAAGCGATTGTGCCTGTTGCTGCGGCCTGCCTCGCGCGACTCCAGGCTGCTTCTCTTTGACAGCTGCAACGCACGGGAGCTATGACACCAGGGAGATCGACTAGTGTTCTGCAGGTGGGGCATGAAACTGAAGTGGAATTCAAGCAGCCTATTTTTCCACCTTGCCGATAGTCATCATGGTTCCAGTTGCTTATCTCAGATTCTCAGCACGTTTGTAACCAAAAATCCATGGATCCTCACTCAATCCGCTGGCTTCCCATTCAACCTCGTAGATTCCCACTCAACCTCGTTGTCTCCCACTCAACCTCGATGTTTCCCACTCAACCTCGTTGTCTCCCACTCAACCTCGATGTTTCCCTTGCTAAGAGCGTGTTACGTACCCCTTAAATTGGCGGCAGGCCCTAGTTGCCTGTAAAAGTCGACCCGACCTGTCTGGTCGGGTCGACCGGTGGGCGGTTGGGTACCTAGCAGGCAACCTGCAAATGTACCAACCGCCTGTTTTGAAGACCCAACCATACCTACAGTTTTTAGGGCAGACCTAACAGTCACTAAACCAATTAGTGTGAATCATACCTTGATTTCTGTTTTCGTGCACCAATCACGTTCAGCTTCGATAGTTTTTTTTTTGTTTTCTGGTTGTAACTATATTATTCAGCTTCGATAGTGTCACCTACCCCCATTTTTAATTGTACCGCTGGTTGCATTGCATGTTGGTACGTTCGTGGCTGGTTGCCCCAACCAGCTGGTTGTGGGCGGGACCATATGGTCGCATAGACCACCTGGTCGCCTCGACCAGGTGTGATTGTGATCTGGTACAAACGTCAAATACTGTACACTGTGGACCCTAGGGTAACCTGGTAACCCTACGTTCAACCCAACCCGACCGTTCGAGGCAAACGCGACCAGGCCCCAAAATAAGGGGTACGTAACACGCTCTAAACAGTCGCATCGCAGAAGCTGGAGGGGGGGAAAAAAAACCGTACGACTCATCGCGTTGCGATTGGGTTTGTAGCGAAACGTCTGACGAAGTCTTGAAAAGTAACGGAGCTAGGACGACAGTGGTGGTGTGGTGCTGCGGGCGCAAGGGCTATCTGTACAAAAACCCCATCGGCTTTTACCTAATGCATGCAGATTTTGCTAGTGCAAGTTTGCGAGCACATACAATAGACGGTTCAGGCAAAAATGTCTGCCTGCTGGCAAAACCACGCGGTACCCGTGTTTAGGGCGTGTAACTTTTTCAGTTGACGTCAAAAGTACGTTCGGAGCCCCCCTAACGTACGGACGGGGCCCCGTCCGTACGTTAGGGAATGTGGTACGGACGTTGTGCCGTACGTACCGAAATTTTGAAAAATATGCGACAAGTAACACACATTACCACGGTCGCCACCCCCTCGTCAGAGTCGCCTAACACCAACCACGCCTCGGCAAGGTGCCACGTCATATTGGTTTGGCAGTCGAAGTGTTGGAATTTCGAGCTGGGAAATCGAGCAGCATTGAATTCTGCAACTCTGTTTTCGCGCACCAATGGGATGTCAGAAACGTTCGACAGTACGGACGGATGTCCGGACACAGTCAGAACGGTAGAACGGACGCTGGGGAGGCGTGAAAGTGACAGATGTGTTACGGACGTTGGCGACGTCGCACGGGATGTGGCGAAGATCTTAACGAACACTTGCGAAATTAGTAACACCATCGAAGTCCGTACGGGCCATGCGTCCGTACTTTAAACGTCGAAAAAGTTACACACCCTTAGGGTTGAGGCTCCCCAGTCGCATGCCATCCAAGCGGGAATTAATTTTTTCTGACCGCGGGTAGATAACAGTCCACTTTCTCCTACGGCCGTCTAATGTATGCATCGGAATATTTGCACTGACATAAGTTGAATGCCATTGAAAATGGTCCAAAACCCCATCACCAACTTCCCTACAGTCTTAGGGGAAGGTGCTACGTGGTGGGCGGTCAGGCGAACTTCTCCTGCATCTGATGAAAATGTGACACCGTGACGAAAGTTTGCTGACGGAGGCGAATCAACGCCAGGGCGTTTGCTGACGTGTGTGCCTGTGCAGATGAGCCAGGTCGTGCGTGAGGTAGGTACTACCGACCACAGCAAACAAGGTGACATCTAGCTTCACCACATTCAAAAACATATTTATTAGTTAGGAAACCGTGTGAGCAGAATGAAATTAAGTTTTGAGTATGGTAAAGGTGATTGTGACTGATGAAAAAACTGATTAGAGAACGGTACAAGCTAAGCCCTAGGAAATAGTATTGGTGTCATCAGAGCCATACAGGATCTTTTGAAAACACGGTTGGATGTGTATCAAGACATGGACCACGGTGTGGAATGTCCGAAGGAATAGCCCCATACATACGTTGAGCTTGTATATTCAAGAGTTTGAGTTCTACAAAATCAAGTACATTGCTGGTAAGGAACACTACTACAAAATGAGTACCTAGTTATGCCCATCCGCTGCTCTCATGCATACTTGTTTTGCATAAGGATGTAGGTAGGTGAATCTTCTGTATAGCTTTCTTCTAGTATTTTGTACAAATTAGAAGGAAAAGTGCATACAGCATCTAACTTCTGTAGAAATTTGCAATGCAAAGAAGCAGTAAGTACTAAGTGTTGTTCGGTGCAGCTATACCATGATGGAAGCATATATACCACAGTTTTTCAAGTAACCCCCCCCACATACCCACCACGCACGAGGGAAACCGTCTGAATGTAGAAGCCATGGCTACCGTATAACATGTCAGAAGCATGTCAACAAGACAGATGGAGCAGCGGGTCGCGGTTGACATCCTTGTAAAGGAGATACCTTGACCGAGTCTTGCCCAGTGCTGCATACCTGCATGGCGCAACACGGAAATGAGAAAACATCAGTGAGTGGACGACGGACATTAAGAAACATGTGTGATGAGAAAAAAACGGAGGTCACAGGAGATCACGAGCAATTATATCACAACTGAGATGCAGCAAGAGCATTAAAAACGAAGGGAAAATGATTTCACTAGAGAAGGACGATGAATGCACAGTCAACACCCATAATTCCGAGGGCAAACGCATGCTAGTGAGATTACTTGAATGAGCATAATATGAAAAGGTTATCTCACCATTGGGGAACAAAAGGGGCCATCCAAATGGCGTCACCTGCTTGGACAGGATACCTGCAAATACAGAGTCAAAAGGCGTCCGATTGTCATGCTTAATCAGCTATTGCCTTAATCAGATACTGCCTTACCAGCTATTGCCTTAATCAGCTATTGCCTTACCAGCTATTGCCTTACCAGCTATTGCCGTAATCAGCTATTGCCTTACCAGCTAATGTCTGAACCAGCTATCGCCTTAACCAGTAATTGTCGTAACCAGCTTTTGTCGTAACCAGCTATTGCCTTAATCAGCTATTGCCTTACCAGCTGTTGCCTTAACCAGCTATTGCCTTAACCAGCTAATGTCGTAACCAGCTGTTGCCTAAACCAGCTATTGCCTTAACCAGCTATTGAATTAACCAGCTATTGCCTAACCCAGCCATTGTTGTAATCAGGTATTGCCTCACCAGCTATCAGCCAAGCGGTATATTCCTCGCCCTTCCAGCAGCAGCAGTCCGTGCTGATTGTAATGCACCTCCTGACGGGGGGGTGTAGGAAAGAAGTGGAGGAAGGGTAGATTCATGCAAGGCAAGCAAGGAAGGGTAGTGGTCTGTGAAAGGAGATGAAGCACCTGCCCTTCTAGCAGCGGAAGTCCGTTCTGATTGTAATGCACCTTCTGAGTTGGGGAAAGAGGGAGGGAGGGAGGAGGAGGGAGGGAGGGAGGGAGGGAGGGAGGGAGGGAGGGAGGGAGGGAGGGAGGGAGGGAGGGAGGGAGGGAGGGAGGGAGGGAGGGAGGGAGGGAGGGAGGGAGGGAGGGAGGGAGGGAGGGAGGGAGGGAGGGAGGGAGGGGGAGGGAGGGGGAGGGGGAAGGAGGGAGAAATTAAGAGAAATCAAGTAATGGGGGAGATCCACGTTGATCGAAAGAAAGCACGGATGCATTCTTGAGTTGACTCAAAGATCGATACAAATTCTTATCTAGACTCAAACGGAACATGCTCATGTAAGCAGCTACAGGGGAATGGGGTGACCAGCCAAAACAAACCCCTGAGCATGTTTCACAATATATTGGCATTAATGAACACACACCTAAAGGAACACTCACCTAAAGCAGCCACACTCACCTTCACATTAAGGAACTCCCCCGGCTCAAAGTCCATGATCTGCAGAGCGCACAGGGAGTGTTAAAAAAACAAAGGGACTGGTGACTTTTGAGTCGACTCAAAACTCCCCCCGCTCAAAGTCCATGATCGGCAGAGAGTACAGGGAGTGTTCAACGCGAAGGGCACAGGAAGTGCTCAGTGCAAAGGGATGACTTCTGAGGGGACTCAAGACTCCCCCGGTTCAAAGTACATGATCTGCAGAGAATACAGGGAGTGTTCAACGTAATGGGCACTAATGTTCGTTCTTGAAAAAAGAAAGAAAGGAAAGTTGAAAACAAATGGGAGAACCATAAACACATTGCATGAATATCGGTTCCGTCAGCATCAGTAGGGAAAAAAGAGGAAGACAAAATCAATCAAACAACAGTTGCTGTTCGAAGCAACCCTTACATGAATATTAAAGTCATAGGCAATGGTGGTGGGAAGCAGCTTGCGAAGAGCAAAGACCTGGAGCATGATGGAAAAGAGGGAGAACAGGAGGAATGATAGAGCACCGCACATCACCGCACCGCACATTACCGCATGGCACATTACCGCACAGCACAGTCAGTCGTATGTAAATCAGATGCTAAAAGAACTGGGGAATGGTGGATGTGACCATGACAGCAGAGCATGGGTTGCTTGTGTATGAAAAGTGAACGTTACAAGTGGTAGTTACAGATGACGGTTTCAAGTGGAGGTTACAAGTGGTAGTGACAAGTGGCACTATTGACAGTGACAAGTGGCAGCTACAAGTGACAAGCGGGAGTGAAAACAGGAAACGAGCATTAGTGGCAGCAGCACAACGCACCTCCCCAGGGACTGGCAGAATGGGTTGCTTGTGCGTCTGCCCCACCACCACCGCCAACCCCTCTGAACCGCTCTCCACCCCTGAGACTGTAGCAAGGCCCGAGATAGGGCAGTACCTGATGTTGGTGGGCGGAGGGCGTGGGGGTGCGGAAGGGGGAGGTGGAGGGAGACGAGGACGGCTCTTGAGTCTGCATTTGAGTCGACTCAAAGCCCCTTCGCTCTACACCACTGAGGCTGTAGTGAGACCCGAGATAGGGCAGTCCCTGATGTTGGTGGGCGGAGGGCGTGGGGGTTTGGGGCGGGAGGGGGAGGTGGAGGGAGACGAGGACGGCTTTTGAGTCTGCTTCTGAGTCTGCCTTTGAGTCTGCTTTTGACTTGAGTCTGCATTTGAGTCGACTCAAAACCCTTCGCTCTCCACCCCTGAGGCTGAGATAGGGGTTTTGAGTCGACTCAAATGCAGACCTGATGGAAGCGAGGTCTGAGATAGGGCAGCACCTGATGGTGGTGGGTGGAGGGCGTGGGGGTTTAAAGGGGGGGAAAGGGGTTGACGTTCAAGTCGACTCAAAAGTCCTGAGAGGCCTGAGACAGGGCTGAGACAGAGCAGTACCTGATGGTGGTGGGTGGGGGTTTAGAGGGGGGAAGGAGAGGAGTGGGGGGAAGACGAGGACAGCTGAGGAATGGAGGAGGGAGGAAAGGGAAGGGAAGGTAGGAGGGGGAGGGGGAGGGGGAGGGGGAGGGGGAGGGGAGGAGGGGAAGAAGGGAGACGGGAAGGGATATTTGGCGAAGGGATGGTAGATGGAGGGTCCACGTGATGTGGATTTTGGTTACCAGTGCGTTTATTACTAAGACAAAAACGAGTGTAGCTCGCGCACGGGCAAAGGAAGGAGCGGTCTGTGAAACTCAAACGACTGTTTGAACGGAAATTGGACTAAACCTCGGCTTTAAAAGTATTGAGGTTGAAAGTACCTGCGTTAGATGAGAACGAGTGTACCTCCAGTGTCCAGACGCAAACGTCAAGGAGTGGTGCGCCCCATTCAGTGGCAGCTGCTCAGCCCTGTACTTGAGATGAGAGTTGGGCTTTGAGCTCTCTTCTGGGCAGAGGGAACCTTACATGCGTTCAATGAGCACGAGTGTAGCTCCAGACGCAGAGGCCAAGGAGTGGTGCGCCCCATTCAGTGGCTGCCGCTCAGCCCTGTACTTGTTTTGAGAGTTGACTTTTGAGGCGCCTCAAATGTGCGCCCCATTCAGTGGCCACTCAGCCCTGTACTTGAGATGAGAGTTGGGCTTTAAGCTCTCTTCTGGGCAAAGGGGGCCTTACCTGCGTTCAATGAGCACGAGTGTAGCTCCAGACGCAGAGGCCAAGGAGTGGGGCGTATTTGGTGGCAGATACACATAGGAGTCCGCCTGAGTGAAGAAAGGGCAAGGCAAGTTGGCACAAATATGTGTGGGAGGGGGAGGGAGGGGAAGTAGGGTTGCTTGAAAGCAGAGGCCAAGGAGTGGGGCGTATTTGGTGGCAGATACACATAGGAGTCGTCCTGAGTGAAGAAAGGGCAAGGCAAGATGGTGCAAACTGGGGAGGTGGGAAGTTTGAGTTGATTGGAAGCAGACTCAAAAGCAAAAGTGGGAGGTGGCAAATATGCATACCAGATGTACAAGACGCGTTGGTACGTATGGGGGGAGGGGGGGGGGGGAGGAGGGGGGGGGGGGGGTGGGTGGGGGGATGTAAAGATGTGGGGACAGGGATTGCTCGAAAACATACTGGGAAGCAGAGCGAAAGACAAGGAGGTGGGCTGACGTAGATAAAAAGGAGGATTGACAGGTACACGGTATATGGTGAGTTGGAGGATAAAGATAAGTGATATTGAGATGTGGAAGAACATGTGTGGGCATGTGAGCTAGACGATATGTGTAAGGAAAATGCTGTACTGTTGATTGGAAGCAGGGATTGCTCGAAAGCAGACTGGGAAGCAGAGCGAAAGACAAGGAGGTGGGCTGACGCAGATAGAAACGAGGCTTGACAGGTCGGTACATGGTGAGTTGGTGGATAAAGGGAAGGAAAATTGAGAGGTCGCAGGGGGAAGAACATTTGTGGGCATGTGAGCTAGAGGACATGTGTAAGGAAGATTCTGCACATGCAAGGCTCAAGGCCCATGCTTTGCCTGCATGCCAAAAAAAACTCCTGCCAGAAGGTGAAAAACTAATTGCAAAAACGTCTGAAGTAACGTTTCCAGGTAAAAAATGAGAAGGGATTTCTCTGTTCTATAACAAATGGTGAAAAATATAAAGAGCACATGAGTACCGTAAGCTCCTCCTGCCAATCAATAGAGCTTGAGCAGGTAGTTCCAGCATCGCCAGCTGTCAAGCACTCATTGGCCACCCCTCCCTCAGTAGCCTCTCCTCCTGGAGCCCCGTACTGAGCAAAGCTGACTTGCCCTGATACCACAAACACAAACCTGCAGCAACAGAGCAACGCAGCAACGGACCAGTGCACTTGCCAAGGCAGGATACAAGACTAATTTGAATCGACTGAAAGGTGAAGCTTACTTGCCCCAACAACACAAAGACAAGCTTTTCAGCCGCATGATTTCCACCCACATGCTTCTCACCTTTCCACTCCAGCAACCGGAAGGGCGGAAGAGGCATTGTCTGACACAACAAGATGGAGAGAAAAAAAGAAAGAAAGAAAGAAAAGAAAAGAAAAGAAAAGAAAAGAAAAGAAAAAGAAAAAGAAAAAAAGACAGAATAAAGAGGGAAGGAATAAACAGAGAGGGAGTAACAGGCAAGCGAATTAGGAAAGGAAAGCAAAACTCTGTTTATTTACAATACCGCGAGGAGAGAACAAGGTGAGTCAATGGCGAGACGTGACAGAACAAGAAACTGGAACTACCAAGGAACCCTAAAAACAGTGGGAAGCTGGTTACCACCTGAGAGCGCTTAAAGCAGAGGGAGGAGCTGGATAATTGGTACCTGAGAGTCGAAGCAGGGACATGCTGAAGTGTGCGCCAATGGCAGGAGTCACCAGATGTGCAGAGAGAGTGTTTTCCCTGCAAGCCATTACAGGATGGCAAGCAGGCAAGCAGGATGGCAATAGGTTCTTAGTGGACTTTTTTTCAGGATATTTGGAAGGGAAGTCGCTGCCTGTAGCAGACCGCATCGGAACAAGCCTGATGCAATTAAATTGTTGGCATTCACTGCAGATGACTCCCAATGTTAGTCTGCAATCTGGCTTTACTCGGGGCAGGTGGGGTGCCGTACATGGTATGGTGTTTCACAGGTGCCATTCAGACAACGAGCTCACAAGTGTTTTGCTGTTTTCTTCCTGCTACGATGAAATTTCGAATGAGAAACTTCCAATTCAGCCTCCGTTTGAGCTTTGAAGAGCTCCCATGCAGATGCAGCAAAGTTGTCGGGCTCCCAGTTCCAAGCATTGAAAACAAATTCACTCTCAGGTACAGGTTACTCTCACCCATCAACACATATATGCGAATTCACCCTCTGACAGGTTCTCCCACCCACCATCCAGGCAGCGGGCTGAAGACTCAGCTTTCTGGTGTGATCAATGCAGGATCCCTCGCCACCACACTGCATCTTATGAGTCGGCTTAGGCCATTATACATCCACCCAAAAATCAATTCCATTCACCCAAAACCCACCATCCGGGTAGCGGGCTGAAGACTCGGCTTTCTGGTGTGATCAGCGCATGGTCCCTCGCCACCACGCTGCGAGTGAATCCGGGCAGGTCTGAAAGCGAGAAGAAAAACATTACAAAACCAGAGAGGAAAGGCATCGGTGAGAAAAAACATGCAGAAATGACAATATGAAGCAGAATGGGATTCATTTGGAAGGTGCGAGTAGCACCCTCTTTAGTTGGAAAGCAAATAGTAAGAAAACATTGTAAGAACTTGAATATAAGAAGGACGAAAGCAAACCACTAGGATACGAATCATGCACCTTCCATGTGGACCGTGTCTAGGGTGGGTTCCAGAACCTTCTCATACATGCCCTTATTACTCCGTGTGCCTGCAAATACGGAAGCAAGAATGTGAAACAATTTGACTTTCGAGTCAAACCAATGTCGCCTCAGGACGTTCTCATACATGCCATTGCCACGTCCTGTGCCTGTCAATACGGGATGACAGGATTTAAGTGCAAGAATGAAGTGTTAAGTGACGACTTTTCAATAAATCGCTCTAGACGAAACAAGATGCTCCATTTTGACAAAAAAGCGAGAGTTCGTGTTGTCGTACCATCAGCAGCGGCTTCGGAACTCAGCAGAATAATCGCGAGCGCGAAAGTTGTTAGTGTTGATAGAAGCTGACAGGCATGAAATGGTTTCAGCGACATTGCTGCAGGCGGAATGGCGTGAACACAAGAAAGACACCCTGGTGGTTTCACAATAGAAGACAATTCAGCAGATAAACGATACTCGGCGTGCTCAGCAGGGATTTGTTCGGTTCCGTAGGTTTCGTCAGATCATGTTGCATTTTGATACGGATCCCGTTACAGACCGATGTCAGTACTGTGTAAACAAAGTCCCATGAAGTGCGTTTCCTAACGTGAAAATCGTTCTGTGCTTCGAGCTCGTGTCAATATGGGGACGACCCTTTGAGCCTCAGGCATTGTTCTGGGTCAACTTCACGTGTCATCAGCATTCAGTTCAGTCCCTCCCTAGATGTTGTCATGTCACCGATTGCACACCTTTCACAGCCACTTCCCTTGTGTTTTCCACAATTGACGATCACACCTTTCAGCCTCTCCTCTTGTCTCTCTCGGCCTTCTCTCGTCACTCCCAGACTTCTCTCGTTAGCCTCTTCCCTCGTCCTTCCCATCACACACCAAAACAAATTTGAATTCTCATTCAACGTCTAGCATCCCCTTCTGTTTGACAAGAAGCAAAGAATCGATTTCAGAAGAACGCATTGGTTTTTGGTTCTGTAATGTTGATCCACCTCCCGGGGGAGCTGAGAAACCTAATTTCAAGTCCATCATTCACGCGTCGCCAAAGTTTCTTAGTTAAAATACATAAAGAAAAAGGTTCTCTGCCAAAATGGGCAATCCAGGCACTGCTGTAGATGTCGAGAAGCGCATTCGTGTCATGAGGATGATGATGAAGCTTCAAGACCTCAAAAGAAGAAGTACGTAAGTCGCCGGCTTCAGCTCCTTGTTATATCCTTCCCTGTAGATATTCATGATATCCTTGTGCAGTGGATGGACTTGAGCTCTCCTCGGCTGGTGGCGAAGTGAGCATGACGCGACGGACAATGAGCACAGTAAGTGCCATAGCAACGCTCTTCTCTAACGTTTTCTTCTCAGCGTTTCACTCAAACAACTGCATAGCAGGATTCTATTCTTCTGCGCTCTCGATTGTTCATGGTGGCTTCCTGGGCTGTCGCCATTCTCCTTGCAGTCGGCTATGCTTTTATATAATGAACATTTGTCAAGCAAGACATCACTGGTGCTCCGTCCAAGCCAACACACCTCAAAGCGAGGTGTTCCTTACAGCGATTTACAACATGTGTTGGCATGGGGTAGTGAAACTCCCAAGGGCCAGTTTGGCGTGGACGGAAATAAGGGTAGCAGAAGGGATATTTTTGTATGCTGCTGCTGAGGCATCACCATTTACAGCAGCTTGGACGCAATTATGAAGAAAATTACCATGCAGCAGAATTCACTTGTGGTATCACATTCTATTCTAAGAATCACCCAATGGGCCTGGCAGGGAGTTGCAGGACCTCTGCAATTGGAGGGTAATCATACAGCTTAGGGGGAAACCCAGCTGAAATAATCCTCGGCCCAACCAGCCATGCCGCTGCTGCACCGCCAAGTAGGCCCCCAAGGTGCCCTGAGTTATCAATGTTCCTCCAAAGAACTCCCAGAACCAGGTTCAACATGACTGTACTGCCTAAGCCGCGCAAATATGCTGAACCCCTCAAGCTCAGCTGCTTCTTGTGCCTCAGAAAGAACACCCCCAAAGCCCCGACGAGCCCGAAAATTGCTCCAGATGCACCTACAGAGGGCGAAGGGTTGAGCACGAGGCTCAGCGCTGAGCTGGCGAGCGCTGACACCACATAGATGCCAGCCATGCGCCGGCCACCAAGCAGCGACTCAGCATCAGGACCAATCGTATTCAGTGAAAGGGAATTCACTACAAGATGCTGAAGATCCGCATGAAGCAACGCGGATGAGAATAGCCGGTAGTATTGGCCCTGGCGGATAAGCGAGTTGACTTTCGCGCCGAGCAAGAGAAGGCGGTTGTTGGAGAGGATTTGGAGGAGAAAAGCGGCTGCGTTGATGGCAAGGAGAAGGTCAGTGACCTTGCGATGCGCCCTGGAACCACCAGGAGCCCAAGGCCAGATAGGCCCTGTGGAAGGGGGACCAGAGAAAAGGTTACTTGGAAATCCGCTGTTACCACTGTTGTAGGATCCCTCGCGAAAGGCGCTGGTGGTGAAGGGAGAACGAGATTTGCGTGGTGAGGAGGGTCCGAAAGGGGGGAGTAGGTGAAGTGAGGATTGTAGGCCGGGGAGGGTTGTGGAGAGGAGGTGGGGGAGGGCGAGTGGGAGGGAGCGGAGGAGAAGAGTGAGGGAGGCGGAGAGTGATTGGGCGAACGGGTGAGGGGAGGAAGGAGATGTGGTGGTTGAAGGGAGAGGAACGGCTTGGGAGTTGCTAGAGCCACCACCGCTGGTGGGAGCTCTGCTAACAGTATCTGTACAGGCACCAGGTCTTGCTGCTGCTGCTGCTTCTGCCGCTGCTGCTGCTGCTCTTCCCGCAACCTTCCATGATATTCTCCCCTAAAACAGAACCCCCTTCGACCTCTCCTCCCGTGCCCTCAATGGACATTCTCGGTTTCCTGTTCGCCCTTCTGTTCACCCGAATTCTGTTTCGCTGGGACGCCGCGCGCTGATTGGCCAACGCGCGGTGCTGTAGTAGCAGAACCGCGGGAAGCGGGGCATAGCAATTGACCACCCTGATTGACTGCGACGCTAGCCCTGAAGACGTTGAACATACGCGAAACGGGGACGGACGAAACGAGGATGAAGTCGACGAGGCTGAAACCCAGCCCGGACCGCCTGGGAACATCGTGAATGCTCCTGCCTTGCTCGATGGTATGACGATCTATTCTATCCCTAAATGTCTCAGAAAAAATGCTTTGATGCTGCGCGTCTATCCGTTATCCCTTGCTTTACTAACTCGCCCTTCAACAATTGAACACGCTTCTCGTGGTCATTAGTCCAATCCCTGAGGCGTGAAACGTGCGTGTAAGCCTTATATCTGCTGTGCTGCCGCTTTTTCTCATAAAACAAAGCGCGCGACGTGAGGAGGTGCCTTCCTCCATGGGCCTAGAAGAAGGAACTGATGTCACGTCATCCTGGAAGCATTTCAGGTGGTGGAACCTCTCCAAAGAGTACTCAAGCTCGGACTTTAAGGGTTAAAAACGTCACTGTGCGTGTGAGTACGTTAGGGTGCGGTGCAATGTGATGCAGGTCGTGTTCCCTGGTTCGCTGATGTCTGTGGTTATGGACGTAACACGTGGCAGGTTCACGAACTCAAAGAAACTGCTAGTAACATCGATTTCGGCAAAAGCAGGTGGCTGATACGTTACCATTTCCATTTCCCAGTTACTGTCTTTCGCGGTAAGTTGTTCAGTCTTGTCTCTCGCGTGACGAGATCCTCTGAGTTACCTGGTGATTTTCTGGTCTTGTCAGATGTTCGTTCTCACTCAAGCAATAGGTGTACACGTATCCAGCAAAGCGGCATAAGCGGATCCGCGAGAGCACCTATGTAGCGTACATTTGATTTCTTTCTATAATCACTTTAGGTCATTCTGTCACCGTAAAAGTCGGTGCATCCTACGCGCGCTTGTCGCAACCGGGATCGGTGTAACACCTCGCTACCCACTGGGTCAGACGAGGCACTCAACCCTTACGTGTAAGCTCCGCAGGCGTTACAATCGGTCCACCTTTCGCTGTGCGGAGGATCGTGTCCGAGCCTGCGAGCGTGTGCCCTTCTTCCTCCGCACGCGGCGCCCCATTTTCCATGCTCGCGCCGCAATCTCCACTTCGTAGCCGCCGGTTAACTTGCGGTTGGTGACTTTTCAGTCAGTGTCCAATACCGCGGCGCCATATATCTTACACTGAGATTTGGGCCGTTTCAAAAGTCACTTAAGAAATCACTGATCCTTTCGTACTCGTTTTACTGACGCGGCCGCGTCGCTTTCCCTAATCCACGTGTCGGATAAGGCACGTGGCGGCGACGCGATGTTGAACGTGCTGACGGGGCTGCTGCGAGGCCGCGCAGTGCCGGCGAAGGGCTTTAAGTATCTGACGGCAAAGCGCGGCCCGAAGAACTACTATAAGGGCACGGGCAGCCGCACTATGGGACGGCACACTAAGAAAGGTGAGTGTAAGGGGGGTGATGCGAGAGGGGACGTGGGGGCAGGGTGGGGGGAGGGTGTAGTTGGTAGAGAAGGGGGGAGTGGGGGTGGGGCGGGGGGAGGAGGGGTAAAGGCAGGGGATAGGTGTTGGGCGAGGGTTTGAGGGTTAGGGGGGAGGGGGAATTGTAAGGGAGGGTGCGGAGAGGGAGGGAGGGAAGAGAGGGGGGGAATTCTGAGGGAGGGAGATGAGAGGGGGGTTGAGGTGGGTGGGAGGGGGTTAGAAGCGGGGGATTGTGAAGGAAGCGGGGCTATTGATTGGGAGGGGAAAAGCACAGGAGTGTTTTTTTCTCCAGGCTAACCAAGTGCGAGCGTACGAAGAAGTGTTTTGAGGCGTCTCAAAACACGTCTTCCTACTGGAGTGTCTTTTTCTCCAGGCTAACCAAGTGCGAGCGGGCAGGGGGTTGCACTATGGGCCAACGCATAAGCATGGTGAATGTATCGCGGGTGATGCAAGAGAGGCAGAGGTGGTTACTCTGTAACGGAAGAGCAAGAGGAAGGGGACTTCAGAGGCGCTTAAAGGCTGCCAGGAAGAACTTGTGCAAGCGGACAGGGGGTTGCACTATGGATTAACGCATAGGCAAGGTGAGTGTATCGCAGGTGATGCAAGAGAGGCAGAGGTGGTTACCCTGTAATGAAAGAGAAGGTTCCTTTTTCTCTCCCTCCGCGCGGACCATTCATTTCGTCTGTTCCTTCCACAACCATTCATTTCTCAAACATTTAACTCAGCATGAAACTCGTTGTTTACCCCCTGCATGTAGTTACTATCTGACTAAGTAGACAGGCATAAACTCATCGAGCGTACTATACGCCAGCGTATAAACTCTGGCATAGAAACACTGGGTGGTCCAATGACCGCCCTGTAAACACTACGTATTCCAAAATCATGTATCGCATGTCTCACTACTCCCTGCAGGTGGTTACATTTTGATGGAAGAGAAAATGCCAACCTACCTGGTTCCTGACCTCAGTAATTTCCAGGTACCTTCCCTCCATGCCTTTCCCTGCCAAATGGCATCATCTCGTAATGCTTTTTGAGTTTAGTTTTGAGTCGACTCAAAACTAGTTTCTTTATTACATTTCTACCCACCAGGTGACAGAATTTGCTTTTCTACTAGGTAATTCCCCGCCTTGTTAAATTTTGTGGCTCCTCAAGAGTGGCAATTTCCCATTATGTGAATACCCTGCCAGATAACATAAGCAATGTGATAACATCCATTCACATGCTGGATACTGTACCTGTGCAACGAGACGAGTTACTCGCCCGGTATCGCCCGAGTTACTCGTTTGGGGGCGAGTAACGAGTTTCGATTTTTATAAATTTTACTCGGACGAGTCAAGCCGAGTTTTACTCGCCGAGTTTTTTTAGCTCGACGAGTACTCGGGCACTATGTTGCCCGCCGATCCGCGCAGATCGGCGATTTCGCCCGTCGATCCGCGCAAAACGGCGATTTCGCCCATCGATCCGCGCAGATCGGCGATTTAGCCAGCCGATCCGTGCGGATCGGCGATTTCGACCGCCGATCCGCGCAGATTGACGATTTCGCTGAGCAGATCGGCGATGTCCGCCACATGTCGTGTCAATCGCTAAGCTCAGATAAGATCTTGCTTTGGTCGAGCCAAAGTACTGTAATTCGGCGGGCGAAGTATTGCTTCCCCGACTACTGTAATTCGGCGACAATTTTCCACCTGTTCCCAACCAAGTCGCCACTACTTACCTCTGTTCACCGCACTGAATCTACAAAATCCCAACCACCCGTTCCAATTTCAGATCCCGCCACAACACAACCCCCTCCCTTCCCCGCCAGTCTACCCCGATGTTCCTTCATTAGCTAGCTGGACGTGTCCGTGGTAGTTGTAAGGGCCCCTGTTTTTGCAGTTACAGGGCAGCGGGCCGAGCATTACTCGTACTCGGACGAGCTTTTCTAAATGCTCGCCCGAGTTCCCTTTTATAAGGCGAGTAACGAGTTTCTGTTTGGGGGGAAAAATGCTCGGTCGAGTATTACTCGACTCGGGCTCGTACTCGGCCGAGCAAGGCTAGGGACGAGTCGAGCATTACTCGGCTCGCCCCTTTGCACAGGTATTGGATACATATTCCATGCATGCCCCCTCCCTTGCCACACTTGGCACTCGCCACTCCTGCTGCACTCATAACCACTTGCACTCTGTTGCCACTTGCACTCTGTTGCCACTTGCACTCTGTTGCCACTTGCACTCTGTTACCACTTGCACTCTGTTACCACTTGCACTCTGTTACCACTTGCACTCTGTTGCCACTTGCACTCTGTTGCCACTTGCACTCTGTTGCCACTTGCACTCTGTTGCCACTTGCACTCTGTTGCCACTTGTACCCTGTTACCACTTGCACTCTTATTCCACTTGTTCCCCTCCTTACAGCTCAAGCCCTATGTCTCCCACACTGCACCCATGGTGGCATTAACAATGATCCCCTCTTGCTCCTTCTCCTCTTTCTCCCGTTCCCCTCCCACCAGCTCAAGCCCTATGTCTCCCACACTGCACCCAAGAAGCCACCAACAGCCGCAACCGGAGCTGAAGCAACCACAGCAAATGCCGGGTCGAGATAAACAGGGCATTTTAGGGTATTGGTGAAGTAACAGCTGCTGCCAGGGCTGAAGCATCCATAGAAAATACCGGAACACGATGAGTAGGAGATTAGGGGTGGTTCGTGGTACTAGGTAAGCGTAGCTGGAATAACGTGTTGAATAGTACGGTTGTAGGATATGTGCAACTGGCGCTGGTATTGATACACCACCGACAATTGGTGCTGCTGCAACTGGTGCTGGTATGTCATCAGTAAAGACACCATCTCAAGTGTTTGCGTCAATTGGGGGTTGAACATTTGTGACGGTACATCTGCTCTGCAGGTCTCAGCGTAGGTGCATTGTGTTCGAATCCAAGCGCTTCATTATTCCATTCTGATTCAGTACTCATCACCCTAGCAGGAGCAGCCTAGGTACCGTACGTGGGAGGTTCCAACCAATTATTAAACACCATGCTTTTCACAGCCCATGATCATTTCAGTACACAGCTTGCTTTGATGCAAAGAAAGGTTACACTATTTATTGGTGTAGCATAACATTGTTTACATCTAGCTACATCAATACATAGGGTGCTACACAATGTTATGGTGTAGCTATCGGGGGTGAGGTCAAACAGCTTAGCAGCATCTTTGTCTGAAAGCTTCACCGTTGGAAACATCCTGCCTTCCCCCCATCCGTAATTCATCACCCTTGAAGAGCCTTGTTCGCAGGATCCCTCCCCCACCACCCGTGTTTCCTCCCCTCCTCCCAGCTTCTCCCTCTCACTCTCACAATGTTCAGTATTTTTATTGCACATGCGTTTGCATTTATCAAATGTCACTTATGCATTAGTGTTACATCACATCCGCAGCACCCTATTGGAGGTCAGATCAAACAGCTTAGCAGCGTCTTCATCTGAAAGCTTCACCGTGGGAAACATCCTGCCTTGCCCCCATCCGTTATTCATCACTCTAGCAACCTTATTAGCAGGATCCCCCACCACCCGCGTCCCCTCCCCTCCTCCCAACTCCTCCCTCTCGGGCAATCCCAAGGCTTTTCTTGCTTTCCTCCTCTCCCTCTCCTCCTGCTGCTCCTGCCGAAGCCACCCTTCTATCATTCGCTGAAACAAAGGGGAGAATTGAAGGGGGGGGGGGAGAATGGAAGAAGTTGGGAAGGGGGGAGAGGGGGAGGGTGATAAGACGATAGGAAAAAGTGACTTTTGATTTTTAAAAGGGACTTTTGAGTCAACTAAAAGGTTACCCTCTCCTCCTGCAACTTCTCAGAATCGCTTGACGATCTTTACTCTCCAGACGTTCTCTCAGTCTCCCAACATTCGTGACTTTCCTGTATTTCCCATGTTGTCTATTCCCAGTAGAGATCATCACAAATGGTGACCAGACTAGCTCACCATGAGAGTGGTGGATGCCAGCTCTGGAAATTCTGTCAGCTGCTTGGTGAACTGCAGCCTGCCCTTTGCCACGTATGCCTGAATGAGACGAGAGAGGGATGCAGAGGGGTGCAGAGGGATGTTAAACCTAAACGTTCTACTGCGGAGGCCAGCTCTGGTGTTTGTTGAACTGCAGCCTGCACTTGGCCACTTATGCCTGAGTGGAGGCAGAGACGGTTGCAGAAGGATGCAGAGGGGTGCGTTGGGGTGCAGAGTGGGGTGCAGGTTACAGAATTGGTAATATTGAGCAGCACATGCAAATATGGGTGGGCCAGGCCAAGCCTGCAGCACGTCGAGAATGCGTGCGGCATGCACAAGTGTCACCCTCCTCTGCGCACATTCCTCCCTTGGAAACAATGCTACTGACTGACTGACTGACTGACTGACTGACTGACTGACTGAGTGTGTGCGTATAACATGCACGAGCCACACAGCAACAAGAGCGCTGTACATACAATGTGGGTGGGCCATGTCTGCAGCCCGTCGAAAATGTGAGTGGCATACATGATGGTCGCGCCTCTCTGCTCGCACTCCTCCCTCAGGAAAGCCATCAAGTCAGCTCGACCCAACACATCCAGATCCACCGTGATTTCGTCTAAGAGAAGAACCTGCAAGCACAGAGGGGAAGGAGAGGAAGGGGCAACGGCATCAGCTCGACCCAACACATCCAGATCCACTGTAATTTCGTCCAATAAAAGTACCTGCATGGGGGGGTGTGTGGGAGGAAGGAGAAACAGCATACTTAGTCAATGATACAGCCCCTCTCTGCTCTCACCTTGAACTACCCCACACACCTAAACAACCACACCCCAACACCCGTGCGTACCTTGAAGGGATTTAACAACCCCATGGCGATCTGGATGCGCCTCCTCTGTCCGTCTGATACTTAGTGCATCCGCCACTCAAGGTCAATATCCAACACCTTAATCAGCAGGTCCCTCCTCTCAACTTGGACTATCCCACAACCCCACTTACCTTAAAAAGCTTCAATCAACCTCCCACACCTTGAAGGGATTTAACAACCCCATGGCGATCTGCACACACCTCCTCTGTCCATCCAACACTTTATGCATCCGCCACTCCAGGGCGATATCCAACACTTGAATCAGCCTATCCCTCCTTGCAGCGTCTGTTACCCCACCCTACACCCTCCCTTACCCACTGGCCTCACGACCATGCACTCGTGCATTCGCAACTCCAAGCCAACATTCAACGCTCACGTAAGCCCTTGCGTTGTGTAGCTTGAAGGGCTTCAGCAATCCCATTGCAATCTGCACGCGCCTCCTCTGCCCATCAGACACCTTATGCATCCGCCACTCCAAGTCAATATCCAACACCTTGATCAGCCGGTCCCTCCTTGCAGCAAGTGCTACCCCACACCCCCTCACACCTTGAAGGGCTTTGGCCGCACACCTTGAAGGGCTTTAATAACCCCATTGCAATCTGAACACGCCTCCTCTGCCCGTCCGACACCTTATGCATCCGCCACTCCAAGTCGATGTCCAACACCTTGATCAGCCTATGTCTACTCTCACCTTGAACTACCCCACCCGCCTACACAACTACACCCCAACACCCGTGCGTACCTTGAACGGTTTCAACAGCCCCATGGCAATTTGAACGCGCCTCCTCTGCCCGTCCGACACCTTATGCATCCTCCACTCCAAGTCGATATCCAACACCTTGATCAGCCGGTCCCTCCTCGTGGCATCTGCAGCTGCACCGAATATCATCTTTCTTGCCGATATATCCATCTGTAGCGGCACGTCGAAGCCTGCGAATGCCACATCCCTGCGCCACTGCAAAAAGACAGGAGTGGTGGTTGTGGCGGGAAGAAGAAGAGAGAGAGCAGCAGCACAGCGGTTAGCTGCAGCAGTGCTGAATATTATCTTCCTGACCGATATGTCCATCTGTAGCGGCATATCAAAGCCCACAAACGCTACGTCCCTTCGCCACTGCAGTCAGTAGTCGCATGGGGGGAAGGAAGGGAGCAGGGATCACAAGTGTCGGCTGTGTTGGCGCCGAAGATAATCTTCCTAGCTGATATATCCATCTGTAGCGGCACGTCAAAGCCAAACACAAAGAGGTGGGGGGAAGGCAGGGGTACTAACCTCGCCGCCAAGGTACGTGAGAGCGCCAGACGCCTCGAGCCCGGTATTGTGGAAGGCAGAGCAATCAGTCCCTCCCTACTGGACTGGACGTCAACACAAAGTGGTAAAGGGAAGGCAGGGGTACTGACCTCGCCACCAAGGTACGTGAGAGTGCCAGGCGCCTCTAGCCCGGTACTGTGGGAGGCAGAGTGGACAACTCAGGATAGACATTCTGATAGGAGGATGCATGGAAGGCAGGGGTACTAACCTCGCCGCCAAGGTACGTGAGAGCGCCAGACGCCTCGAGCCCGGTATCGTGGAAGGCAGAGCGGCCCAGGACTCGAACCATTGAGGGATCGACCATGTGCTTGCCACCCAGGATCTTGAGAATGGTGGTTTTGCCTGAAGGGGCGGACGGGATGGGAAGGGGAGCGATGAGATGCATAGAGGAGACAAAGGGAATATCTCAGGCGCGCGAACCATTGACGGATCGACCATGTGCTTTCCTCCCAGGATCTTGATAATGGTGGTTTTGCCTGAATGGGGGGACGGGGATGGGGTCAAACGAGGCCTGGGATTAAGACGAGCCGCATGGTGGGAGCGAGGAGAGGTATTAAGGAGCGCCGGAGCTATGGACGCTTGCTGCTTAAGAAACCGTGATTACCGGGGAGCAGCGTGAATAAGAAACCGTTCCTAAGTCATACAGTCGAGTACAACTTTCACATACCTGCGCCATTCGCGCCGACAAGAAGGCAGCGATCGCCGAGGTGCAGCGTGAGGAAGGAGAGTCAAAACATGAGACACTCACAAAACACTAACGTCACACACCTGCTCCGTTCGCGCCGACGAGCAGGCAGCGATCGCCGGGGTGCAGCGTGAGCGAGAAGCCGTCGATCAGCGGCTTGGCGCCGGGAGGCGGCTGGCCGTCGATTCCGGGATACGTGAACTGGAGGTTCGTGACCTGGATGTTCGGCGGCTGTTGCGCAGTTTCGGCGATTTCAGGGACGGACGGAGCCATGACGAGAACGCGATTGACGGAAAGTGGTTTGTACGGGATTGGACTGCCGAGACGAGGAGACAGGAATGACGAGGGACGAAATGATCGCGAGAGAAAGCGAAGCGATGAACGTGACGGTCTACGTTTAGCGACGTGCGACGGAGCGAAGTGAAGCTATAAGCGAGAAGAGTACTGAGCAAGTCGGGATATACGCGGGAAAAGTGGTCACGAACAGACCCAACCGACTTAGTTTATCAAGGCAACAGCGCTTCAGTGCGCCGCGAAACGTACAAGCCTGTCGAATGATATCTACAATGGTGGAAATGAAGCAAGTGATATGTCTTGCGTTCTAAAAAATGGAAGAAACTTCTTTCGAGTTTCAGAGGTGTCCCTGCTCTCAAAAGGCGAATGATTGAATCCCAAGGTCGCAGTTCCCAGGGCACGATTCTTGGGGGCTAGCAGACCTCGTGGCTGGCTGCTGGCTGTCCACGTCTTGTGCGAACTGTACCACTATTCTGTGACTGCTGGTTACCTGCCCGATTCCAGGATAACCTTCTTCCTCCAGTCGGTGTCAGCAGACACGAGCTTTTTGCGGGTAGAAAAAGAGTTCTGGCTGACCCAATTGGAAGAGGGCGACGCGTCGTGCGGGGTCGCAATTGGTTCAGGAAAGTCATGGACGACGCTCGACGACGGCTGGGCTGGGTTGGGCGACAGCCACGACACACCAAGGTTGCGCGGTCGACAACTCAACACGACGTCGACGATTTCGCAAATTGGGAGGAGTAGTAGTAACGTTTGGCGAGTGGCGACGACGGGTAACTAAAAATGGCGAAACCCCCTGGCGTCATTGACAGCACTGACAGGTTTTCCCGCCAAAATGTTCCCGCAATTTTTTATTCCAGGTCACCACCCACAAGCCGGGCGGAAGGCTGCTGACTCCGCTTTCCGAGTCCCCATGTCCTCCCCCTCCTACTGATGCGCAACAGATTCCCAGAGCCCTCCCGCGCGATTTCCCCCACCATTCCACCTCCACCTCCGCCATTCCCCCTTCCCTACCCACTTGCGCACACCATCCAAGACTCTCCCTCCGCATTTCAGCAGCCATTTCTTGATTTTTGCTGTTGAGGTCCCACACGCATAGCTTCATCCATTCCTCCTCATTCCAGAATCTAGATACTGCCTGCCTGGCGAACACGTAGTACGGACCAGTTTCACCATCTATTACTACACCTAGTTTTCCTGCATCCATGGATGTGAGTTTTGTTCCCAACTACTTCGTTAACACGTCGCGGTCAGATTCCTTTTCCAAAATATTCGTTGCTCGTTCGTTAAATTCCAACCGTGCGACGTGGCGGTTTGCTATGATACATTTAAATTCGTTATCATCTGAGCAACCTCATCTACAGCTCTTATGTAGACGCTAGCTGTCGTCTCAAATTTCCATCAAAAATTCCACATTATAAGTTACACAAGATTCTTACATTCCCTTATATCGTCCGCTTCTTTTGATTGAATTGTTGCATTTCCAGGATCCAGAGCTCGAGGCAATTCGCCAGAGGCGAATGAGGGAAATAATGGCGGCCCAGGGCGCACAGGTGCGTGCTTGCGGGCTCTGCACGGTCTGCCCGGAATCACATGTCATTTGCACGAGAAATTCGCATGGAGGGGGGGGGGGGGGAGGGGAGCTGACGCTGGGGTACGCATGACCTGATTCTCGCAGAGCTAATACATCCCAAAGTGGCAAACGCGAACCTGCATACTATTTACACTAAACGCGGTGTGTACGTACCAAGTCATGGTTATAATACACATCATGAAACATGTATTTTTATATTAGTTAGGTACACCATCATTTGAATCGCATAGGGGACTTTTGTAAGGCGGAACTAATCGATCACTTTGATTGGTTGAGGCAATCCTCTCGCGCGAACTTGCAAGTGCCACGTTGGGGCGTGCAATCATGGGGCAACACGTTGACACCTGTTGTGCAGTGGCGTTGGAGTATCCAGATTGTGTGGAGTGCATTCGGATTACAGTATAGGGACTCCGTTGGATCCCTTGTAGTGCCGGATTAGTGTGTGTGAAGTTGGAGATCGGATGGAGTAGCTAGTGAGCAGCGAGTGGCGCCACAGTGCATCTCGAAATACACAGTACGGACTCCCACTGTCCCATCTTCTGCAAGTTTGCATATCTAAGAATCTTTCCATGCTTCCTGTGTGGGAATGGTGTTCGAATTCTTTCAGGCAGGGAGCGGAGCTGGAGGAGGCATGCCGTCTGCCGCCGCTGGTCAGCAGGACGAGTCAAAGAAGCAGTAAGTAGGACGAGTCACAGCAAAGGTAAATAACGTCATGGATTCGTGAGTCCTTCGTGAGTCCTTCGTGAGTCCTTCGCCTCTTCCATTCGGTTGTCCTCTCTGCGACGTTCATTTCTCTGGTTCTGAATGAAAGCAATCTTTCCATTCGCGTCTGGCTGCGTCTGCTTTTGAGTGTCCCTCGCCTCTTCCATCCGAGTGTCCTCTCTGCGACGTTCATTTCTCTGGTTCTCAATGAAAGGAATCTTTCCGTTTGCGACTGGCTGCGTGTCGTTCTTGTGGTTGTAGGGAAGCTGAGGAGAGGCGACAGATGATGCTGGCGCAGCTGATGGACTCGAGTGCCAGAGAGCGATGTGAGTTGCTAAGTGGAGTGTGAGAGAAGCGAATGTATGAAATTTGATTGTAACACCCCGTTGGGACGTGGCAGAGGAGATAGATTATGCTGGCGCAGCTGATGGACTCGAGTGCCAGAGGGCGATGTGAGTTGGGAACAGAGTGTGACAGAAGCGATGTGACTTGGGAACCAGAGTGTGACAGAAGCGATGTGAGTTGGGAACCAGAGTGTGACAGAACGCGAATGTGACAGAAAGGGAAGTGACTGTTGGGTAGGAGACGTGGGAGACAGATGATGCTGGCGCAGTTGATGGACTCGAGTGCCAGGGAGCGATGTTAGTCTGTTTAGTGTAATGTGACAGAAGCGAATGTGACGGAAGCAGCAAAAGTGACAGATGCGGGAGCGACAGAAGCAGGTGTGACCAATAACCACGTATCACAGGAGAGTGTGGCAGACAGGAGAATGGCTTCGATTTTTGAGTCGACTCTATTTTTGAGACGATTTTTTAGTCGACTCAAAAATCGACCAATAACCACGTATCACAGGAGAGTGTGGCAGACAGGAGAATGGCTTCCGAGCCTGAGCTGGAGGTTCAGACGCTGCCAGTCGCTGCCGAGATTCCCCTGCTGCCAGTCCCGGTTACAGTGGTGGTTGTGGTGGTGGTGTGTAAGAACCTGTGTGATAATCTCCCTCAGTGAAGCTCCCACTGCTGGTATAACCACTCCGTATCCTATCCTACTCAGAACCCCCCTGCTGCATTGTTCCTCCCACCCCCTCTGCTGCATTTGCGCCCCCACCCCTTCCCCATTCCCCCTGTAGCACTGGTTACCCCACCCGTACTGCTGCATTGGTTCCCGTATCCCCACTGCTGCGTTAGCTTTCCCACTTCCCTGCTGCATCGGCTCTCCCACCCCCACTCTGCGTTTGCAAAAACTTTAGGAGGTGCAGACTGTGGGCTCAATCACCCGCGCTTCCCCGTCTCTCCCTTCCCTTCACACCCTCCCGCTTTTCCCTGACAACCCCGCTCTCCCTCCCCCCTTCCCCTCCCTCCACCCTCCCCCCATGGGACCCATGCAGTGGCGCGCATTGCCCTGGTGAAGCCTGAGAAGGCGCGGCCAGGGGAGGATTTGGTCATCAGAGGGGCTGTGAAGTGCTTGTGCTTGTGTGAACAACCCCTCTGCCCCCTTTTGGTCCCATCTTCAAGACCCTCCCCCTTGCAGTGGTGCGCATTGCTCTAGTGAAGCCCGGAAATACTTGAGCAGTATGGCTGCAGGTTTGTGACGTGTTCTTCCCCCCCCCCCCCCCCCCCCCCTCTGCCCCTTTTCCCCTGCCCAACCATGCAGTGGCGCGCATTGCCCTAGTGAAGCCTGAGAAGGCGCGGGCAGTGGAGGATTTGATCATCAGAGGGGCGCAGACAGGGCAGCTGGCGGAGAGGGTGAGTGTGACTGTAGTGTTTGAGTGTGACTGTAGCGAATATTAGATCATAAGAGGGGCGCAGGCAGGGCAGCTGGCGGAGTGGGTGAGTGTGACTGTAGTGTATGCTTTGTAATGACAGACATGCAGCAGTGGCAGGATTTGATTATAAGAGGGGCATGGACAGGGCAGCTGGCGGAGAGGATGAGTGTGGGTGTGACTGTAGTGGGCGTGACTGTGATGGGCGAGTGTGAATGTATCGAATGTTAGTGAAGGGCATACAGCAATGGAGGATCTGATAATAGAAGGGGCGCAGACACAGCGGCAGGCAGAAAGAGGGTGGTTGACTGAACCGAATGTGTCAGTAGTGTTTAGGTGTGATAGTAGTGAATGATAATGATATTGATAGGCATACGTTAGTGGAGGATATAAAGAGGGAGCAAATAGGGCAGCTGGCAGAGAGGTTGATTGTGACTGTGATGTGTCTGATGCAAGAGCGACTGTAGTGAGTGAAGGCAAGCAGCTGTTGGGGAGAGGATAGTTCAATGGGTGCAGAGAGGCCAGCTAACAGAGACAACAACCGCAATCATGCTGATTGAAGGTGTGTGAGAGTAAGGGGTTGTGGCAGTGGACCACATGGGTATGTGAGGATGATAAACATACAGTGTGAGAGAAGGGGGGTGTGGCAGCGGAGAGTATGGGTGTAAGAGGATTACAGCGAGGATAGTTGGCGACGAGGGTGGCCGTGATTGTAGTAAAGCGCAGCTCTCTCTATTTTTTGCCCCCATCCCGTTCCCTTCCCATCCCCTCTTCTTACGTGGCCCTTCTGCCCCTCTCCATCCCCTCCCTGCCTGCCTGCCCTTCTCCCCTGCCCAACTCTTTCTATCTTGGAACCCAAAGCCCTCACTGTTCCCTCTTTCCTGCCCCCATCCATACTGCATTCCGTTTCCTCTTATTCTGACATGAGCCGTTATGTTCAACGCCTGGATGTTTATTGTCCGACGCCCCTCATATGCCCACATCAAGTGTTGTACATGCACTGTACCATGCGTAATTGTGTGTGTGTGTGCCTGCATGTGTGTGTGTTTGTGCGTGCGCGCGTGCGTGTGTGTGTGTGCGTGTGTGTGTGTGTGTGTGTGTGTGGGGGTGTGTGTGTGTGTGTGTGTGTGTGTGTGTGTGTGTGTGTGCCTGCCTGTGTTTGTGTGACCATCAGGTGACAGAGTCTCGCCTGATTACTCTCCTGGAGCAGATCAATGAGCAAACACAACAACGTACCAAAGTCACGGTTAGTGTTACCTATTGATTAAGTCATCATGTTTTCCAATTTCCACCATTTTTTCGTTAACTCTTTTCTCCCCCCCCCCCCTCCCTCTTTTGCCAATATTGTTGCTGCTCCCGCAGATACAAAGGCGGCGTTCTGCTTTGGACGATGACTAGGCCAATGATGTATACTAGGTATTAGGCAGTAAATAATGACGTAGACAACTCTCAGAATGGTTGCATCCAAGTAACTAGAAGGTCTCATGGTAAAACGATTTTAAAGATGGCTCCCTTCTAGTTTATCACACACTTTTAATTGAGATGGGTTAAAATTGTATTCAAGCATTATGCAGTCAATGGCTGTTTCTTCATCCAGCTGTCTCTCGGCTCGTCATAACTGACGACAACGTTCACGACAGAGGGCACCACTGGACAAAGCAGGTCAGGGACTCAGGCTGACCAACAGAAGGGCTCCTCCTTGCTTGACTTGTACAGTGAAACTACTGTGGTTGTCAACGACCCGATCTGAGCGGTGGGATGAATCCAACGTTCCAGTCAAGAAGATGGATCTCTCGAGGGTAAGGTACACCTGTGTTTCATTTGTTGTGGGGCGCTGGGTTTCTATTAAAATCTGACAATATTCTGCGGTTATGACTCTATCCAGGCAGGAAACTGTGAGGGTTGCAAACAACGGGTATTAAGATGGATGCCCGGAAAATCTTTGAAGAAAATTGGTGCGTGCCCAGATTTCACAAATTTCTTGTTTTTGACAAATTACAAGTGACCACCACCGACAACACAAATGAACGATCAAACCATCTCTTCTTGCGCTCGCAGCCAGCCTTGTGTTGTGAGTGTGGGCAGGTTGGGAACTGCGTTTCGGAGGGTAACGAGGATCACCGCATCACGCCGAAAACCTCTGCGAATCAGCTCGAAGCTCGTGGAAATTCGCTTATCCAATATTTTTTCGGTAGCCCTCTTCGCAATTGTCAAGGGATGAAAGCTCTTCTGCGCCACACCATCACCATCGCATCACCATTCCGTCCAATCTCCTCCACGTCCCAAACATAGATTACTGCAGCTTCATCCATGCCCATGTTCCTTTCTTCCTAACTGCCAGCCCTTATTTCAAGTCTCTCAAACTTGTCGCCTTGTTGATTCTTGAGGCACCTCAAACGTTGCTTTGCCTCGCTGCCTCCCCTTGTTTCCCCCCCGCCGGCCTCCGAAAGCTCGTCATTCTCGCTGTCGTTGCCGATCTTGACTCCCCTCAACCTTCGCTCACCCTCTTTTTCAACCAATCGGCGCGCACGTTTTTCCGGCGCTAGTGTATTCGGTCCCGCGGCCTGCTCCCCCCTTCCGTAGGATTTTCTTTGGCCCTACAGCATAAGTATCGCTTTCTAATCCACTCGGTATGCAATCGCTTCTTGCAAACCCCACCGTCGCCACCCTTTCGCTCCCAGCAGCGTGTGTTTGTTCGTCTCCTCCAGACATTCCGCCGGGCCTTTTAGCTCAGCTCGATCCCGCCGCCGCCGCTGCCGTCCCTTCAACGGAATCGAAAGGGCGACATCGTCGGGCGCCCTCACTGAAGATCCCACCGCTTCTCCTCGTCAGCGACGCCAGCGACGACTGTCGCAGCTGTCGCTCCTGCGACATCGCTGACGACAACTGCGACGACGGCGACGACGCGGACGATTTGGACGACTGCCCACTTCCCATCTCTAGTGGCGGCTGGGGTACTTCTGCGTTCTCCGACGGCGGAGATTCGCGCAGATCCGAATTTGACGGTGACGATTCGTCCAGCGTCGCCAGTTCCGAAGAAAGCGGCGCTTTCACGAGCCATTACCGAAGCTACCCCTATCGATTGGTTCGGGTTTCACGAGAATCTGAACTTCGAAGTGGGAAAGTACCTGGAAGATACGTGCATCCCTCCAATATGTACGCCGTCGCGGGCCAATGGCGGGAAATCAACCCGTCAGATTCTGACGTCACCAGCACGATTACTGACGGCGACGTCGCAAACCCGCAACAGAAACCAGCAAGTGACTGCGGACTTGCTAGCGGCGACGCGATTTCGTCTCGGAGGACGCCGAGAAGCGCCGGAAGGCGACTAGCCGACGACGACGACGACGATATTGCTCGGCGACAGAGATCCGCGGATTACTCGAGCCGCCTTCGTCGCCACGAGAACGCCTTATCGACTCCTCTTAACTACCATACCAGGCAAGAAAATGGTATTTTCGCGGCACGGGCTCCGTCTCTGGCGGGTGATGAGGCTAATGGATTGATTCAAAAACGGCGAGTATCGGGAGCATCACCAGTAATCGCATCGTCGAACGCTATCGCCGGATCGTCGTACGCGTTCGCCGGATCGTCGCGCGTTCTCGCCGGGTTGCACCCTTCCCACGGCCTGACGGTTGAAATTCCCGACCCGCCTTCTCCTGTCGATTCCGATTCGCCGCGCTCGTCGGCGAAATCACCGCCAAGTGCTCGTCAAGTGACAAGTTTTCCACCGCCTACCGCGGCAAGACCCAAAACCTCTAGTGGCAGGATCAGCAGCAGCTGCGGAAGCGGTTACATCAGCAAGAGCAGAAGCAGTGGAAGTAGCAGCGTCGGCGGTGGCAGCAGCAGCAGCAGCAGCAGTAGCCGAAGAGGGCCGAAATCCGTCGGAGCGAGACCCAAAATTCCTCCGCTCACGCTCGAGCCGGTGAACCATTCTTTGGTTCCCATGACACCCACTCCAGGAGCGAAGACGCCTATAACGGGGAAAACTGGCCGCTCTCTTTCTCGCCCGAGAACTGCGGAATCGTCTAGGCGTGAGGAACGGCCGATATTCTTAGGGTTGTCAGACTTCAAAGTAGATCGAGGGAGGGGCGGCAATCGTGGAGTTGTTACAGAAGTAACTAGAAGCACCAGTTTTAACGAAGTTTCTCGTACCCTCCAGCGTCGACACTCTCACAGAAGCGCTCCGGCGCTTAACGAGTTGGCGCCGGTTGACGACGAATCGGGATTCAATGAAGCAGTGGCGCGGTTTTGCGAGGATATTAAAAGAAACGGCGGGAAAGCAGCTAATTCGGGGAGGCCTCCGTCCCCATTGGTTGCGAGCAGCGTAGACTTCGGGGGTGTGGTAACTGGTTCGCTAGGTGCCCTGATGCAGTGGGTGACGTCCCGGTGAGCTCACGGTGGTGTGTTGTAACAAAAGCTGCTTTGCCCGTGGTTGTCAGATGCTCCCTAAACCGCGCTACAGGCACACAGGCCATATTATTCCCATCCCATTCGGGGTTCACGGGACGGGAGCCATGGAATGTCGGGTCGCGTCGCGTGAGGGGAAGCAAAGGGACGGGGGAAGGGCGACGGTGTGGGGCCAACGGGGGTTGTGAACTGCAGGTGCTGCTATGCTAAATCAGCACTTCTATGGTGGGGTGGGAAAACGGGAGAAGGATGTGCGTGGTGTGTTATGTAATAAATTACACATGTACCATGGGCCTGTAGTTCGTGACAAACAAGGGGTCCTAAGTGTTGCTCATCCAAACAGCACATGCTGCTGTTCTGGGACCTTCAATTCATGTTGTAATGGTAAACATTAATTGTGAATCTAACTAAAATCCAGCATATTGCTCACTCTAACATCCTCCTCACATTTACTGGTTGGACACCTGGTAACCACCCAGTTTCAGCATATTACCCACTCAAAAACACACTCAGAAAAGCAGACAAGTCAAGCTTGTTTTGTTTTGCCAGCATCTCGCTTCACTATCTCTCCAGCACCTGCAGTACCTTTCAAGCCTATCATCTTACGCCTCTCAGCATAGATCCCCTCAGGAGCCAACACCTCTTTTATATTATAAACCAGCCCTCTACTGTAGACATTGTCTACAGGAACACTTGCCGGGTCAACCCAGATTCTCAACGTACGCTCTGCTCCTCCTTGTCCACCAAAGACCATTGACCATACCGCAGAGAACCACCCAGCACCGTATTCCCGCAATCTCAGTCTCGAAAAGTCAATCCCGATCGCACGCTCCTTGTTGGCTCTCACTTCAAGCTTTCCTCTCAAAGGCTTTTCGTTCTTGCCATTGATCGACACACGAGGCTCTGCTGATGATTTTCCTTGACTGTCAGAAGACGGTGCGGTTCCCATGGGTTCATTTTCACAATCACCTGCAGATCCAGCTGGTGTGTCCGCACAGCCTTTCAGAGCAGAGTTTAATGCTATGGCAGTCCCCGCCGCTGGTGCTTCTGTCGCTGGTGCTGCCGCTGCTGCTGTTGGTGCTGCCTCTGTTGCCATTGCTGCTGTTGCTGCTGTAGCTGCTGTCGCCGCTGCTACTGTTCTCGATGCCAATGCTCCTTTGTAATTCCTCCTTGAATCTACAGAAGTTTCACTTGTCTCTTTTCTTCTCCCTGCCTCCCTCCTCTCACTCTCCCTTCCTGTTCCCTCTTCCCTCCCCTCCCTTCCCCTCACTCTCACCTCCTCCCTTCTCTCTTTCTCTTGCCCCACTACCTCTGCCTTCCTCTCAGCATCAACTGCAGCATCTCTCATCTGCTCCACCTCATCCTGATGTTTCTGCTGCAGCATCCTGGAAGCTTCATGGGCCACCCACCGCCGATATTGCGCCCACTTGTACGTCTGAAGCGGTGGAAAGCGGTGGAAAAGGAAAAAATTGGCAAACGAGAGGAGTACGGTGAAGAGCAGTGAAACACGGTGGAAAGAGGTGAAAAGGGTGAAAGAAATTAGGGTAGTGAAGAGCAGTGAAACAAGGTAGAGGGGGGGAGGGGGGGGGGGATTTATGTAGGGGACGAGCGAGCGTAAGTAATAATCAGGACACATATACGTATATAATTGGTGGTGATATTGGTAACGGCAAGGTGGAGGTGGTAGAGGAGGAAGCGGAGAAAAGAATACACATGGACGGTAAAACGGATTAGAGGAGGAGGAGGAGGAGGAGAATTACCTCATTGGTGGTGACGTTGGTGGCAACGAGGTGCAGGTGGTAGAGGAGGAAGCGGAGAGAAGAATACACATGGACGGTAAAACGGATTAGAGAAAAGGGGAGAATTGCCTCGTTGGTGGTGACGTTGGTGATTACGAGGTGAAGGTGGTAGAGGAGGAAGCAGGAGAGGACGACGAGGATGACGAGGAAGAGGGTAGGGGAGGGGGGAGGAGAGCAACCAAGTCGTAATAGTAGCATACCTCGTTGGTGGTGACATTGGTAATGACGAGGTGGAGGTGGTAGAGGAGGAAGCAGGAGAGAACGACGAGGATGACAAGGAAGAAGAGCAGCAGCGCGCACTGGCGGTGGAAATAGACCGTGAGCCACTGGGGATGGGGGGAGGGGGAGAGAGGGGAGGATAAGTAGAGGGGGGCGGGGAGGAAGAGGGATGAGAAGAGCAGGAGAGGCCCAGCGTGGATGATGAGGAAGAAGAGGAGCAGAGCACACTGGCGGTGGAAATAGGCTGTGAGCCACAGGGATGGCATTTGAGTGTTTTGAGACGTCTCAAAAGATGGCATTTGAGTGTTTTGAGACGTCTCAAAAAATGGCATTTGAGTGTTTTGAGACGTCTCAAAAGATGGCTTTTGAGTGTTTTGAGACGTCTCAAAAGATGGCTTTTAAGTCGACTCAAAAGGAGCAGCGCGCACTGGCGGTGGAAGTAGACTGTGAGCCGCTGGGGATGGGGGAGGGGGAGAGAGGGAAACCCAGGTACATGAGAGGGCAGAAACAGAAACATGGGGAACAAGAGGAGCAGCATGGATTGGCGATCAATGCAGCCTGTCAACCACTGTAACTGAGTGAAGGACAAGAGAGAGAAGGCAGTTAATCCGAGCTGGGAAGGAGAGAAGCAGAAGAGGAGCAGCGAGCATTGCTGGTGGTAACAGACAGTGGCCGACTGAGGATGGACGGGAGGAGGGGGAGAGAGGGGAGCACAGGTGGAGGGGAGCACGGACGAGGGGAATGAGAGGAGCAGGAGCAGCGGGCAGAAGCAGCGGGCAGGAGCAGCGGGCAGGAGCAGCGGGCAGAAGCAACAAGGAAGACGAGGAGCAGTGCACGCTAGCGATGGAAATTGACCGCCCTCACCGGTCACCTGAACGAGTATTAAGATGACGAAACCTGCCCACTCGGCTCACCTGAATGAGAACAGGCAGCCAGCCAAAAGCGTGAGACCTGGAGGGATCATGCTCTGGAGTAAAGCAAGAACGGATGGAAGAGGGGGACGGGGGCAGGAGAGGAGCTAAGGGAACAGCATTCTTTAAAAGCCTCGAGGAATGACATGGCATGGCATGGCATGGCATGGCATCGCATGGCATGGCATGGCATGGCATCGCATGGCATGGCATGGCATGGCATGACATGACATGGGCTCGTTACCCGTACAGCAGTACACGGTACAGCATGAGAAAAACAATTGTTATTTTGATACGCTTCAAGAGAGAACAGCACCGCATGACCTCGCCTGGCTGCCAGTTTTAACCAGGCATGGCCTCGAAACAAAACACGACCTCTTAACAGCAGAACGCCATGCATGAAGGCACCCTTGACGAATGCCATCCATGGGGAAGCAATTTCGCCAGCCTTTCAAGTCCACTCAACACTCACCCCTTAACTCAACAACAGGGCATGGCCTGGCGTACCTAAAATGGGAGTTCTGACGACAGGGCTCATGGCCTCACACACACCTATAATGGCAGTGATGACTTTGCTGCGAGTGATTTCGCCTGCCAGGATGGAACAGACGCCAAACACACCATACGCCAGAAAGCAGATGTTCCTAAACGGAAGGAATGGGGTGACGTGGAGAAAGGGGGGTGGGAGGCGGATGAGGTTGGGGGGGATGGGGTTAAGGCCACGTGACATGTGTCAGGATGGACCACACGGCAAACTTTTGAGTCGACTCAAAAGTCACCTCGTTACAATGGTTGGGGGGGATGGGGTTAAGTCCATGTGACATGAGTCAGGATGGACCACACGGCAAACTTTTGAGTCGACTCAAAAGTCACCTCGTTACAATGGTTGGGGGGGATGGGGTTAAGTCCATGTGACATGAGTCAGGATGGACCACACGGCAAACTTTTGAGTCGACTCAAAAGTCACCTCGTTACAATGGTTGGGGGGGATGGGGTTAAGGCCATGTGACATGAGTCAGGATGGACCACACGGCAAACTTTTGAGTCGACTCAAAAGTCACCTCGTTACAATGGTTGGGGGGGATGGGGTTAAGTCCATGTGACATGAGTCAGGATGGACCACACGGCAAACTTTTGAGTCGACTCAAAAGTCACCTCGTTACAATGGTTGGGGGGGATGGGGTTAAGGCCATGTGACATGAGTCAGGATGGACCACACGGCAAACTTTTGAGTCGACTCAAAAGTCACCTCGTTACAATGGTTGGGGGGGATGGGGTTAAGGCCATGTGACATGAGTCAGGATGGAGCACACGCGAAGCACACCATACGCCAGATCGCAAATGTTTCTGAAGAAAAGCAGTGGGAGTGGAGAGAGGGGTGGGGAGAGGGGGCCAGCTGATGGGCATGTCAATCCGGTCAGGATGGAACAGACGCCAAACACACCATACGCCAGAAAGCAAATGTTTCTGAAGAGGAGGAGTGGGGAAGGGGTGGGTGGGGGGAGGTGGGGGGAGGGCTGGGTAAGGGCATGTTGATTCAGCCAGGATAGAACACACGCCAAACACACCATACGCCAGAAAGCAATTTTTTCAAAAAGGATGGCGGGACGAGGTGGTGGGTAGCAGGGGGAAGGGGGTGGCAAGTCAAATGAACCAGGATGGAGCAGACGAAAACACACCGTATGCCAGAGAGCATTCGTTTCTGAGGGGAATTGAGCCAGATCGATGATGGCAGACAGTAGTGGCAACAGGATATGTGTGTGTGTGTGTGTGTGTGTGTGTGTGTGTGTGTGTGTGTGTGTGTGTGTGTATGTGTGTGTGTGTGCATGCGCATGTGTGAATTCTGTGTGTGCGTGGCTCTCAATCGATTCCCCCTCACACCCCCCTCCTCACACCCCCCTCCTCACACCCCTCCCCACATCCCTTCCCCATCCCTCACCCCATCAATCTCCAAATCCCTCTTCACACTCACGCAAAGAGGAAGAGCAGGAAGTAACGAAGGTTATTCTCCCCAACACAGTTGTTCTGAGAGGGGGGTTAGCCGGGGAGAAAGGAGTGAAAATTGTACCAAGGGTAGAACCGCCAATGAAGGGCATTTGAAAGGCTAACAAGGGGCGGGCGGCTGAAAGGCAGACACAGGCTAAGAAGAAAGATCGTTTTAAAACAGTTGATGATATTTTTTAAACCCAGCAGCACCACTTACAATCCGACAACACCACTCACCACCAACCAGCACCACTCACCACCCACCAGCACCACTTACCACCCATCCACAGTGGTGGTCGAATCTGGAAATGCAACGGTTGCACACCCTGCAGTGCTTGGCTCGTGCTGGCCTGAGCGGGGAAGAGGAGAAAAGAGGAAGGAATAAAGAGAATTGGCTTACGAGAGCCAAACGCGGGAGAAGCGGGTGGGGACACAGCAACCACTTGTATCAAACTTCAGAAGCGAATGGTACCATACCTGGGTATCTTGCAGGAGGAGCAGACTCGTCTGGTGTAGATGACCCCATCGTATGGATACACTGCCTGCGTCTGCTGCACTGTAGCGGATGTGACTGTACCGGGGTCAGATATACTCGCTATAAGGAAAGTTGTGAGGGTGGCAACGAGGGATGCTGGTGCCGTATACCTGAGAAGGTGGAAACGGAAGTAGCGGGGGAGACGGGAGAGAGTGGGGAGAGAGATCAAGAGGAGAAGAGGGGATGAAGAGGACAGAACTTTGTGAGAGCTGCAAATAAAAGAAAAGGAGGGGAATGCAGAGAGGGGATGAAGAGGACAGAAGGTTGTGAGAGGTGCGATGAGGGGCGCTGGTGCCTTGGGAGAGAGGATAAAAAAAGGAGGGGAATGCGGAGAGGGTTGTGAGGGGTGGGGAGGGGTGGGGAGGTACGCTCTGAAAATAAATCTCATGCAATGAGGAAGATAGATGGTGGTGGAGAGAAGAGCAGAAGGATTGAAGTGCGTATAATTACAAGCAGAGGTGCTTTCCGTATAGAAGAGCATACGGATGGCGAGAGACACGGATAGGAGAGGACCTGTGGATGGAGGAGAGGTAGGGTCCGGGGATGAAGCTCATGCAGTAGACGTGGAAGGAGTAGTATCCTCCGATCACCAGCACAAGGTAGATGATCTGCAATGGGGTTGGGGAGGATACGCAACGGAAGCGAGAGTGTGAGATACACAAACATGCACAATATCCCCAGAAAATCTAAAGTCGATTGTTGACAAATTCGCCAGAAAAAACACTGGTGGGTCGCCGATGGAAATTAACGAACCTGGAAAAGTGGGTTTCGCTGCTCGCAGAAGAAGTGGAAGATGACGTCACCAGCTCGTTCACCTCTCTCGCCAAAGAAGAAACCGAGAAGGTAACTGTACGGAGAGATGACACGGGGTGTCGGTACAGTTTGCACTATGAAGGATGAGAGCTAGACTTGAAGCAATATAGAGTGGCTTTCGTGCAATGTGTTAATAATGTTAACACCGACTTGTTATAGGAAAATACAGAATTTGGTAGAGTATCGATTTTAATGTGCAGCAGGGGGTCATGCGCTAGAGAGGATAACGTACAATGGAATCTCGAAAACCCCTGAAGTGATCCAATAGTGCGCGGAGCTTATGAAGCTGCCATCGAACGAAGCCGATTCGCCAAACAGCAGGACGAAGAGCACAAAACCCAGCAACGCCACGTAAGAGAACAGCAGCAACAGCGTTGAATCCATGGCTCCAGCTGGCCTTCCAAAAAGCGGATCAGCGTGTATCGTAAGCAAAGGTTCCCAATCAGTCAAGGATCCATCATGCTAGAGTAATTAGAGGTAATCAGTAGCAACGGATGCCCTGGTGATTGCCACAACGCTTGAAATCTGTTACACGAAACACCAGGCAGAAGGACAGCCGTCCTTCAGCGGTGAGGTCACATGCGAGGTGGGTCGGGAAAGCTGCGAGATACGTGGTCTAACGCATGCGAACTTACAGCAGTAGACCCCTTTAGCAGACAATTTTAATCCATGAATTCTAAGTGTTCTTTCAGTTACTGCTCAAACAAGTGCTCGGCCTAACATGCAGGACATAACGAGGTCAGTAGAGGGGGTTAGAAGATTCCATAGGAAGAAGCTTGTTTTGCGCCAGCAGGATCGGTGTCAAGGCGAGGAGCATAAACTAACTAAAAGCTCGGACTACGCTCTGGACGCTCCTACTTGGTGCTGGGAACTCCTAGCCTAAGCTCGAGAAGGTCTAAAGCAGATTCTATAAAACACCTGTTTCCTGCCAACGGGATTGGTGTCAGGGCGTTGAGATTCGCAAATTGGTAACCAGGGCCTTCGAGAACGAATGTGCCCCTGGCGACATTCGTCGGATCGGAACAGAAACATCGAAGCTCGTGCTCGACGCCCAGAAGCGAGCGAACGACACTAGCAAACTTACGACGGGTTGCGACCCACCGGGTCGGGTCGACCACCCCCCGATCCCGAATTTCCAGGAAGCCCGCAGTGCCGACCTACCCGACCAGGCCGACCCGACCCAACCCGACCCAATTCGGGTCGGGTTGGGTCGACCCAGTTCGACCATGTCGGGTCGACCCGGGTCGACCAAACCCAACCCAACCGAGGTGGAGCAGGTTACCGGAGCCCGCGAACTTTGTTGTTCTCGCGTGGATTTCGTCTGTATCTCGTCCAACAATTTGATACCCGGTAATATCGCGCACAACAAGTTGGCGACGTGGTGGGGATCGCCAAGCATTGCCCAGACCACCATCCACCCGCACAGCAGTTGCGCCCCCACGACGACGAATTTGGGTGGAAGGCGATGGGAAATTCTTCGATTTCTCGAGCCGCCTTGCGGTTTGGTCGGGTCGGGTCGGGTCTGGTCGACCCAGGTCGGCCAGGTCGACCCGACCCGACCCAACCGAGGTGGGTCGCAACACGTCGTGAATTACAGTTCTGTTCACGGAAATGGAGCAACCAGACACAGCATGACACACCATCAGTGTGTGGGGTTCGGATTTGGATGACACGGAGTGACGTGTCCATCAATGACATTTGCCCAGCGAAAACTTCACACTCGTCTCGTACGTTCGGCACCTGCGAGGCCAAGGTGTTTCAACTCCTCTCCATCCAAGTTGCAGCACCCCTCGGGAACACCCAAAAACAGCCAGTGATTGCCTCGAACAGGCCAATGTGGTGCTGTTCAACTCCCGCTCAACCAGTTGCCTTCTGAGTTGCCTGCTCGCCTTTCGATATGTTTAATGAAACACTTTAAAAGTCAAATAACCGCACGAAACTCCCCTGAAACCTATGTCCCGAACCTTATAAAGACAAACTAAGGGCGCGTAACCATTTTGCATTTTGTGATTTTGACGGACAGTCCGCTTAAAACGAAGCGGACGGTCCACTTACTGAAAACGGGACCGTCCGAAGTGAAAATTTGCAACTTCGGACTGTCCGAAGGCAGTTGTGACACTTTTCTTCTATTGTACAGTTTCGCGACAACTGTACAAGAGTTACGCGATTTACGATTTTCATGTTTTTCGTCGTCGAATCATTGTTCTAAGAGAGTTGTCTCTGGTTGGTCATAGTAAATTTGCGAACTCTCACCACATGTTTTTGTTGGTGGACGAGATGCCCGAGAATTTTTACGTCGTGCACCAATCGGATGCAAGGAAATTCGGACAGTCCGTTTGAGATTCGGACTGTCCACGGTTCAGATTTCGGACCGTAGAAAATGGGAAAAAGTGTCACGACTGTCCGTTTAGTTGGCGATGTCGCCAACACCTTAACGAACACACTTACGACATATCGCGAAAACTGCTACCTTTTCGCCACCCGGACGGTCCACGGTTCGAACCGTCGGGTGCAAAATGGTTACGCGCCCTAAGACCACAACCAGGCCTACCCTTGTTAGTTCACCAATCCGTGTGGTTATGGTAGTTACAAAAGGAGGAACCGATTGCGCCTTCGGTTAGAATGTTTCATATATTCGTGGTATAGGTTCTAGAGACAGCTAACTTACTCACAGGGTGAAGTTGTAAGTAGTGTCGTGAAACTGCCGCTTGTACAGAATCTTGAGATTTTCTACTCAGTCCTCGGAAACTCCCTGCCATTCTTTTCGACCGCTCAGGAGCTAAGCTTTGATTCCTGAGACAGGTTTAGTTTCTAGACTTTCACCGCTACGCTGCATAGTTTGCCTACCCGCTTCAAGGCGACTCCAACTTCTCACTATAATTTGGCTACTATTCAGTCTACATACCCATCCCTTAGTCCGACCAGCTCCACATTCTTGGAGAGTCAGCAATATGCTGCCTCGTTGGGCTACTCGCCGATTGGCTCGGTTCATCCTGGGTCGACTGCTGGGTCGGTTCCTGGAGACCGATCTGAGCCACGAGCAGATCGAGGTTCATCTGGGGTCCGCGTCTGTCCACCTCTCGGGTCTCCGTCTGAACACAGATTATCTCAACTCCCTCGTGAGTTAGTGTTTGAGTTGGTTCAAAGTAGGTATGCGTCACGTCAGTGCATCTCTCTGGTCTCCGCCTGAACGCAGAATATCCCAACTCCACGGTGCGTCTAGTGCGTTCTTTGAGAAGGTCTCAACTCCCTGCTGCGTTTTGCAGGCGAATTTATCCAAAGTAATCACCACTTTGCTGTTTCGTGTTATTCTTTTTTCCCCTGCCGCGTTTCACCTCCCTCTCTCTTCCCGACTCCTTTTGTATATTTTGGGCAGCTTGAAAGCAACGGGAACGATGCCACAGCAGCTAAGGGAGCATCGTCAACTGCAGTAGCATCGGCAGCAAAAGGAGGTGTTTCTGGAAGTTTCCGGAATAAGCCGAAGCAGGTCCGTCCAACTATCCGCTTCGTTTCGGGTCACGTGGAAAAGCTCTCCGCTTCGCTCCCTATAGTCACACTCTCCTCACTGGACCAGCCGTGTACAGTCAACCTAGATGGGCTCACCCTGGTAGCTGTGGTGTCGCCTCCTGGCCAATCAGGAGTAAGAAAAGGCAGGGAGGGAGAGAATGCAGTTAATACGAGCAATGTTGGAGGTGAGAGAGGCGGAATTGACACGGGGAGTGAGAACGAGGAGGATGAGGAGGAGGAGGAGGAGGAGGAGGAGGAGGAAGAGGAAGAGGAGGAAGAGAGAGAGGAGGGTGCGGAGGGATTAGCCAGTGGGGGTTGGGGGAGCTTTCCAGGCTTCCAAGGGGGAATACAGCTTGTAGCAGGGCTGGTAGAAAAAGTTTTACTACGGTTACAAGTATCTGTAACACATGTACAGGTGCGCATTGTGCTTGACGACGGAACGTCTCAGTTCGACCCGGCAGGGGCAGGGGCTTGTAACGGAGGTGACTGTAACGAGGATAGGTTTGGTTCAGGCGCCTGGAGAGATGCTAAGGGGGTTGTTTTTCGCCTGGACGAGCTGTCTTATGGCCCAGGAGACTTAGAAGCGGTAGAGCTCGGTTTTGCAGGTTCAGAAGGGGTAGTTTGTGGTGAGGAGCGGCAGGGGAGACAAGGGCAGGGAGGAGAGTGTGGAAGTGAGAGGGGGGGAAAGGGCGGAGGTGGAAGGAGAAGCGATGATGGGTGTGTGGGAGAAGTGGGAGGAGAGGGAGGTGGTGCGGACGGGTTGAAAGGAGGAGTTGCGCGAATGGTGCTGGGAGGGGGGCCGAAGGAGGTGCGGTTCAGTGGGGTGAGAGTGGGTATGGTGGGGTGCTGGGAGTGTGGAGATGCAGTGAGGGAGGGTTGGGGTGCATGTGAGAAAGAGGATGAGGATGGGAATATGAATGGTGATGTCTATAACGAAGCAGCTTCTAGCATGTACACGAGTGTATTGGCTGGGCAGCAGTCCGTTTTCGTGGATGCTACTGACGAAGGACGGGATGAGGATGGGGGCTCCTCGCTGTTTCAGTCTGCTATGGGGTCTGCTTTTATCGAGGATAGATCCGTCATGTCCCAGTCAGCAACTGGAAGATTCCGGGAAATGGATTCGTTTCACGATGCACGTGTAGAGCTGGCGCCATCTGAGTCACTGCGTGCTGACGTGTCACAGGCACACGGTGCAGCTACAGCTGGGTTATCCCCCACACCTAGTGCCACGTGTCAAGCCTGCAGTTCTTGCAGAGAAATGGCTGGAGGAGCGGAAGTGGTTGTGATTGGTGGGCCAGCAGCCTTAACGCATCACACCTCACAGCCAGTAACCTTGGTGGAGCAGCCAGTGTGTCCCAAAGAGCGGGAATGTGGAGGAGAGCATGGGGAGGAGGAGGAAGGCTGTTCTGTTGGTCGTGCCAGGAAGGGGCAGAGCGCGAGAGAGTGGGGCGAAGCAGTGACAGTATGTGGTGCAGGTAGCAGAAGAGGAAAGCTCTTCTCCCATTCTGGTGCAGGTAGCGGAAGGGGGATTGGGATTGGCCGCGAGAGTGAGAGCGAGAGCGAGAGCGAGAATGGGAGGAGCACACACGGAGGAGTGAGTGGGCGAGTGAGGGTGACCCTAGGGTTGCACCCGCGTGCAATGCAAGGCTCAGGACAAAGTATGGCGAGTCTGAGATTGAGCAGAGAGGGAGTGTGTCTGAATAGAAGAGATTTGGGAAAGAGAAGGGAAGGGATGGGTCAGGAGGGAGGGCCGGTGGTGGATGTAGCTGTTGAGTTGTCGCCTGTGGTAATTCAAGCGGATGTGACTGTAGTGAAAGGGGTCCTTGAGGTGCTGGGGAGGCCTAGAGGGGAAGATGGAGGGGAGGACAGAAGGAACG